TTCTGAACGAAATGGTGTAATAGTTTTGATTCAAATTCTTACACAACATACTGCATTCGGGTTATCACACGCATAATTAAGTCCTCAACACACACACACACACACACACACACACACACACACGGAGTAACTAAGTAAAATCATAGAAAATACTTTAAAAATGCACGACATGCCGTATGTACGAAATTACGTATCATCATGGATATAAATTGAAGCTTGGGTTTCAAGGTCAATATGCTCAAAACATCAGCGAGTAAGTGTGCCTCGAAAAAAAGTGGAAAAGCAAAAAAGTTCACAAAAAATAAGAAATTAGAAATTATGAAAACTCAGGAGATTGGTTGAGGTCGAAATAATAAATAACAATACTTAAAAACTACTTTTTTATAACTATTTAAATCCATTGGATGTTGTCGAAGGCGAAAGGTATATAGCATCGAGAGCCGTGACAAGACCCGACAGCGCGATCTGTCGCCAGAGTAAGTACTACGGAGAGGTGGCCAAGCAGCTACAGCGCCATCAAGTGCCCACTTCGCGCATTACCTTCTATTTTAACGACTAAGAAACGTTGCGTTGCGGTGGCACCAAAAGCACTCGAATAAGAGTTTCTTAAAAGGAATTCGAATTTGACCATGTATTAGTACAGCATTAGTTTTTATGGTGTCGATTAAATGAAGGCCTGAGACCAGGTTCCGTGGATTAGTCAATAGAGAGACTGCTTGCTGTACATAAGAGACTTACACGAATCCCAGCTGGGTATTTAGTAAGTCTATAGTTTAGTTGTTAGAAAAACGCTTGTGGGTACATATAGTATTACGTATATAATGTTTTGTAACTGTTACAATTAATGTGAAAATGTATGTCCTATTGTGACTACTAGCTTTCATTTTCTTGTGTATTAAATAAAAAAAATATTTTTCAGGAGAATATATTAGCATTTTTACGATGAATTAGAATCCAATAATCTCAGCAGCGATCAAATACCACAGTAGTACGTCGATTATCCGTGGTGTCGAATATCCCATGTGCCAAATAATCCCAAAAGTGGGGTGGATTAACAAGGTCGTGGAGTATGGTGGCTGTTTTGGTGAGAGTGGGATGTAAAAAAATACTAATTGAACTAATTATTTTTCAATGTTTCTTTTTGAAAAATTAATGTGAACAAATGTATTCACAGTCATATTGGTAATGACAGCAGTCTCAGATATTTTCAAATGGTGTATTGCTAATCGGTCTTTTATTCATTCTTTCTTATAACAATACTTTTAATTTTCTTTTCCTGAACATTGATTAGGTAACCTCATTTAAATATCTTGGAGAAACGGTATCAAATAACTTGAACTTACATTAAAAAAACACGATAAAATTTGATGTTCATAAGCTACAAAAAAATTAACATTAAAATAAACGAATAATAACTCAAGTTAGCCAAATACCACTATGACCACTACGTAGATGTGAACTTCATCGTTTGAGGAGTTCAATAACTTGGCCACAGAAATCTCAGTGATTTTATTCAAATAGAAATACCAAATCGTCTCACGTTTTCAGTAAACATAACTATTTTTTATTTTTTCCATAGCACTATGCAGGGGATCTCATATAACCAGGCTATATCAAGCCGAGCGACTATTGCAGCGTATTGCGTCTAAGCGTATGTGATATGCCAACACAACCCCTATTCCGTTTCCCTATTTTTCTACAAAAAAAAAAAACAATTACTTTTTGTGTTTGTACAAATTTAATATATTTTGGCTTGTGCATCTCAGGACTTGAGACAATGTTAGTTGGTTGTTTGGTTTGGTTTTCAAGTCTACATTTTCAGTTTTCATCCAAAAGGTAGACCGTTTTACTAATAACTTTATTCCGTGTTTCTTTGTGGTTTTATACTAAATTAGCATTACATTTTTTAACACGGAAGATCTGTAAATCAGAAGACGTTACGAACGAATATTAATAAATATAAATATTCCGATAGGTTAGATGTATTTGCGGGTATTTCTTTTAAGACATATGCATCAATAGTCCGTTAACTCACAAATGCAATGTTTTTACGCTCAGGAATATTTTCAGACGTTTACTGGATATTTTCTGCATCAATTAATACGGTTTTCAAAAGAGGGCCACAAAAGTGACATGAATAATTGCCGGTTTCATTAAAAATATTTGATAAGGAATTTTGTTTCTATTATTACAGATGCTGCTTCATTAACGAATCAAAATAATCTATTGAAATATTTTTGTATATTTCAAAAGTGCTTCTCATGCAATGGTAACGGTGGATACAAGGTCTCCTTTAGGTCCGAATGCGGCCCGCCAAACACTACAGTATGATGGATTGCCTATCGATGAGGAGCAAATATAGAAAGTGTCCACGTGTATGTCAGTATACAAACACATTTTTCTGACAGATTCTCATACACTCTCTGTACAGAAACTTTAAGATCCCAAACTAGAAATATAAAAGCTAAAGTCACACATACAGGGTCTGTACGTTTTCTGTGTGAATTCTGTATGAATCGCCACAAGACGCCGCTAGTGGGTCAACTGACAACTGACTTGCGCCGTCTTGTCAAGTGACAACTGACTTGCGCCGTCCGAGTACTTTCAGTGGCGGTATTTCTGTGCGTGCGTTAGTCTGGGTGATCTTTATTAAGAATTAATAAACCACGAGGAGTACAGAGATGAAAAATAGATAGGCAAGAATAGGGAAGGAGGTAGTTTATCACAATGTCACGTCTCATACACGCACCTTGACACACCTAACTACAAAATCGAAATGGGCTATTACCGTCGTGTGAAGTACACAAATACGTTAATGAACAGTTGTGCCGTTAGAGGCGCTTGAATCAAAGTGTGAGCTTTCTGCAGGAAAAATTCAAACATGCTCAAAAGTTTTCATGCAGAAATCATGTAGTCTGGACTGCACGGCCATTCTGCGCCAGAAAAACTGTCCCGTTTTTGAAAACTACAAGTTGAGGATAGACTTGCCTTAAACAAAATAATTCTAAAAATGTAGCTCTTCAAAAGTCATTACAATTCTTTTAAAAATGAGTAGTTTTTGCTTAATTTGTGCTTGAAATTAATGCAATTTACAAAAAAATCTCCAAAGCATTCCAATTTTTCCTTATTTTTTTCGCGAATAGAATAAGGAACGCGTAAGTGAATGGCACATGCCTTATTATCTTTGCTCTCTAAATGTTTCAAACTTTTAAATTTATAAATAACATGGGGAAGAATGTTCTGTAGTAGCACCATTAGGTTTTTATTGCATGAAATGTCATTTTCGTCTACATTGGAACAATTTTTTTAACTAATGGCTGTTTGTGAAACCCATATTTTATCAATGTGAAATTAATTTTTCTCCGGTATTTTAAAACCAAACATATTTTTTGTAACGAAATTTTCGTTAGTTTCAGTGATTTGCTCTGTGTTCCCCCTAGATTATGACGATTGTTCGATCCGACAATTGACAAAAACTTCCATCGTCCCCTGTACATCACCTCGATTTTTTTACGTTTATTTTGAGACACTGGTAATTATGGAACATAAAAAATAAACATACGCTGCCATTTAACATCCGACATTACTTTCTATTCATTATCGCCTCTTCCCATCTCTAGGTAGGAATGGAGTCAATAGAGCTGACACTGGCCTGCAGACGTCATCAGTGCCTGAAAAAATACAAACTCGTGGTGCTACAACAGTTTATACTCTGTCGTAATATTTTTACGGTAACGTAATTTAATATTTACCCTATTAACATTTGAGAAATTATTTTAAAAATTATCCACCAAACGAGGCGCGGAGGATTGTAAAAATGCATGATTAATTTTTGATAATTTAATACTTTATCTTTGAAAATGACATTTACACCATTCAATTCGTGTTTATAACCTTACAAACAGTAAAAAAAGACCAACCGTGATATCGAACCGGCAGCAAGTTGTGCGCAACTAAATACATTAGCCGCTTTGACACTCAAACAGTGTGTTTCGCGTTTCTATAGTTTCCTTTTTTCTCGTTTTGTAAATATGAGAGTAAACGTTTGTTCGAACTATGGATTTGTTGCTTTGCAGTCATTTCCTTTCTTTACCAAGACAATGGGCTCTATGATAATACCGCTAACTGCTCATTTTACTGTCGTTTACGCTGACATTTTACTATATAACTGCGCGCTTTTCAATGTTTAATCTGTGAAATAGTATGTTTCCAGAACTTCATCATGTGTTATGTCGTATTAAATTATAGAAATTTCATTCACACTTGTTACATTTCTAGCAGTAGAGGCGTTGGTAGGCGATTGTTTGGGACACTTTGTGCCGTATACTCGCACAGCCCCATTCTCAGACTTGGCGGCTGTAAATTCTTAATTACATTTAACGCAAATGGACGGCGTCAGGCTCGCCAATTCGGTTTGAAGAGAAAATGCATGCGTCTCTTGAGAAAGAGGTGTACAGTGTATTTCAATTAACTTGCTTCTTTTTATTTCATGTGAAACGTGAAAGATATACAACTTTAAGAGATATTAATGTTGAGAAAGTATGTTGTTAAAGCGAATAACACCCGAGATTTCACTGCACCCACAATAGGTACGAAAATGTATATCTTTTTAAATCTTTAAAACACGTGCATTATAGTCCAGTAATATATACATAACTACTTATGGGCAAGATATATACATTATTACTGATGGGGAATATAGCAATTCGCTCAGTAAAAAGGGTATAGTATATGTATTTTAAATTAATAAGAGTATAGTACTTGTAAAAATTCACCTTTTTTATACACAGCATACTGAGGTCTTCCTATGCCTATGTTTGTGACGTCACGTCGCCGAAACGAGATAGAACATTTTTTTTCGTTGCTGAATGTCAAATATTTATTACCCACTAAGGAAAGCCATTTTTGACTGGAACATATTGAATAATCATGAAAATATAACTAAAACTGAAATAAAATATAACTACCAACGTGCTAAAATATTGTGTACGCGTACTCACCTGTCTGTTGATGTTGGCAATGAATTCTTCGTGCTCCGATGCTCGTGTGGGGTTGCGGTCGACCTTCAGATCCAGCAAAACATCTCGAATGCTGGTACTCGTTTCAGGTGCTGTCAGAGATAAGAGATATCATTTTTAACATTTTCGTGAACAGAGTGAATTGTATCGAAACAATTTTCGAAAATAACGTTCGAACATGCGTTTCAGTAGAAAACACAGCAAACTTAATTTAAATCAATAAAAAATGCTGCGAGCTCGAAACATAAATCAGATATAAAATAACCGGTCTCTGCATAAGGCTCAATGTTACGGGTCAAGGTGTATGTTCAATGTCAAGGGTACATGAACTGTTTGAATATTTCTTGATTTTTATAATTTTGTAGCATTTACCTAAAAAATGGATACGCTTAGGTTTTTGTATATTGTCAATATATTATCAAAAGAGAGTTCACTTGCGTGTATGGATTTTATTCAACGTGAATGTGAGAGCATAAACTTGAGCGTCGGCGGCCGGACGCACTTAATAAGTTTAGTTGATTGATATTATTTAGCGTTTCCGACTACGGCAACTAAAAGGGCATTAGTCCCGTACCTAGAAAACACACACACACACACACAAGATAATATGTAAGGTTTGCTCGATCCGTCGATCTACTTCTTCGACTTGCGGGTTGTTAAGGCAGGTATATCTTCAACGGGGCACCTCTCCAGACGGGACAAGCTCTAAGATCCTGAAATGTGAGGTAGTGTAAAGTCTGTGAGTATACGTGTGTGAGTGTAAGGGAAGAAGAGGGGGCAAGGATGCGGAAGAAAACATTGCGCGCGGTCCAAGGCCAGATTTCAAGGTACTATTCTGGCATTCCCGGGATATTGATTCGAGAAACAACCGAAAATTACCGATCAGAGCAGCTGATCGCTAGTATTCTGCTCCAGACAGTCGTTGAATTCGTCATAGGTATCTAGCCTCCGTAGGTACTGGAATTTTAGAAACTGTCAGTCAGCAACACTGACAGAGAGGACAGTCAGCAATGTTGTCTATGAGCGATTCTAGTCGGTAAAATAGTCTGCAGTAACTTTATTGTTCAAATGACTGCTGTCATGTAGTGAGAATCTCTTTCGACTAAACGTGAACCTCATACCAGCATTGGTTATTGTATTTTGTGGTTAAACTAAATAAAATTTTGATTTTTTCACAAAATAGCGGCTTCTCTATACTTAACTGTCTCAAATATATTTAATAATTACTTAGTACAGTGTACGATATCTGCATTAAATCTAAAATTTTGCCCATTTTTGAAGGACCCTGGATAGCCTAACAAGGAAAAATTGCAGGTCTTCTTACGCCCGTGAGGCGAACAGACGTCTGCGCCACCAACCTTTAGGACAAATAATTTTTTTTTGTATTTTTTCAATATTTTTCGACAAGAATGTAATATTATTAATAGATCCGCTCAACTGCAATACATGGTAAACACTTTGAAATGTCGCTATGTTTTTTTTATTATTACTTAACTTTCTTAGTATTAGTCCATTAAAATGTAAAAAACTAGTCGTGTTACATCACATACTTTCTCAAATTATTTCTGAAGTTGGAATTTTAAAAAAATAACTGACTTTAACGAAAATAAGACCTGCGTCATTCTTTTAAGTGCTCCTGGTTCTAACTGTGGAGAAATTGAAGAAAACAATTGCAGTGCGTTTTTAGAAAATATATTATTCATTTTTAATTCCATTAATTTCAAACAAAAATTACGCAAAAAGAACCCTTTTCGACAAAATTTAAAGAAAAAATGTTGATCCCTTTTCAGGAAAAAATGTTTATAAAATACAAAAATTGCCTATATTTTACCCAAAATTACGCGAAAACTAGTCAAATGTCGAAACATTTTACATCTTATTTCAAAATATATAGTTGTATAACAGATTTCATTTTACAACCAGTGGTGCTACAGAATGGCACAAGTATTAGGTTTCTATTTTCTTTAGTCTGGACCAGCTATTCCGAGTTGCCACATTCTCTTGCCAGATCTCATCTATCGACGCCAAAAATACATTACTTTTGACATTTTCTCAATTTCCTAATAGAAAAGAGAACCGTATATTTCGGTAGAACCTAAATATTGCTTTAAGAATGTTACAGAAGCGTAAAATCTCGTCCTCAATGACAATTGTTATTGAAAACCTTGAAGAAATTTCTTTAAGACGCGTCAACATCTATGTCATTAGCGACCGCTATTGTATTTTACGTTAAGGTAACTGTAAAGATGGTGTGATATGGTCATGCGAGAAGGTGAAAGGAAGAACGCAAATACAACTATGCCTGAGGCAGGTCTTAAACACGCGATCCTTTGATCCGAGTTCACTACGGCACTACTGCCTTAACGATCTCGGCCATCCGGACCAGCTGAAATTATGTTTAAACGTTACTGTAAGTGCGAAATTGAAGCACTTTTTACAGAAAATGTTTGATTTTTCGAAAAAGTCATTTAAAATCATTTAAGACACTTCAACTCGCAAATATAATAGAGTTTATAAATTTCTGTATAAGTGCAAATTAATAAAACAAAATATGGATTCTGAATACACCACAAGTTGGAGATTTTTTTCTTCTTCTAAATTTAGAAACGGGATTTATCCAATTTTTCGTTACCACAGCCCGGCAATAACAGTTTTTCTGGACAAAATTCTCGTTCTCTGACGCACAATTACAGAACTTTCGCTTCTTATGAAGAATTCATAAGACCAAAAAAAAATCGAAGCCGGTTTTGAGAAAATCTTGTTCTTGTTTTTTTATATTGATCATTCTATTGTACGCAGTAATGCGCAAAAACTACTAAAATTTTCAAAAAAATGTACAAAAATGCATCTTCTTAAAAGAACTAAATATTGTCAACAATTTTATTTGGAGAAAAATCTCTATCTTCTATTTTTTAGTTGTAGGAAGAATGCAGAAAAAACCAAACTTTTGAAATTTTCAAAAATTTAGGGTTAACAGTGGAAATCAGACCTATGCCACCTTTATAAGTGTGTTTCACTCTATTCTTACAGGAAATTTAAAGAAAAAAAATGAAGTCATTTTTGAGAAAATTTTGAAAATGCCTCAGGGTCTTCATGTATAGTAACCCCAAGTTCTAAAGAATATTTCTCAATATCGCAGCGTTTTGAGTATTGCCAGATCTACAAGGGAATATCCATTTCGGATAAAAACCGACATTTGGTGTAGGCAGTAGTGTTGCTCACGGACGGACAGACAGAAATCGATTTCTGGTTTCATGAACCTAAAGAAACATGGATTCTGACTACACAAAGTAAGAGCGGAAGTAAATTATTTCATACAAGAACAAGATTTATCAATTTTTCGTTACTACAGGCCCGGCAATTAGACCTTTTCTGTCGAGACGTCACCGTTTGATGGCGCACGATTACAATACTTTCTCTTATAACGAAGTAAGGGCGAGAATGTAAATGTTTTATACACATGGTATTTAACAAGGTAGTAGAAATGTAAAATATTTGACTATACAAAACAAACATCTCTGCCGATATAAACTGTAATTAAATAAAACGCTTTGTTTGCGTCAATACGAATTCCTTATTTCCTATATTCCTCCATCGAAGCTTCCAGTAGCGATACTACTGTAATTTTGTGTGTTAAAAATACGATTGTATGAATGCTCTCGTTACTAGGAAATATAGTACTAGATAATGTGCGTTTTAATAAATTATAACAAGTAATAATCATAAATTGAATGCGATATTGCAGATTATTGAAATATAGACAAGATACGTCGAATAAATGTTTATATCATCGTGTATTTCATTGATTACCTTCTACATTGAGTACCAGTATTTAGGATTACATCGGGTTACACTGGGTTAGAGGACTTGAGTCATTAATCGATACTACTACAGTGCCTTTGGCGGGAGGTCCTAGAGTTCGAGTATCGACGGATTCAGAATTCTCGACACTAGTTACAGAGCTAGGTCGAATTCAGCCGCTGCCTGGGCAAGAATTCTAGCGCGCGTCTTCTTAGAACCTTAGTTTTTCGTGGTTTCTCCAATGATCACTAAGCGACTGCCGGTGTTGTACCCTAATAAAATGGCCTTGAACTTACACTTAATGCTCTACTATCACACATGTGATATCAATCGGAAATTTGGGGTTCATCCCGGCTGGGGCACTGGTCCGCTGGCGGGCGATTCCTGGTTGGGAAAACACTGCAAACCGACCGGTAGATTGGTGCCATATCTCGCTATCCATCTGAGGAAATTCATTGCAAACTCCGACAAAAACTTGCATTACACGGACGGGACTAATGAGCTTAGAAATTGACGCGACCGGAATCACTAATAATTCAATCAATCAAATAAAACTCTAGAGATTAATCAAGTTCAAATTTCTCGCACGCTTGATACACCTACTGGGTCAGTAGCTGATCGCTGAATATAAACGTTTCTATAAGATACCAAGTGAACTGACATATCTGAAAATATATTTTAAAAGCAATGTAAAGTTCCAGCATAAGATCCAAAACGAACTTCGTGAATATTTGATAAAGAGGAACATGCCATTTCTTATTAAAGCAAACTAAGAAGAACCAGTGAAACAAAATATCTTGTATTTAGTGAATGTCTTCTCTTCAAAATGAATGTATATTCTTGAGGTCGGCCACTTGCACAACCCTTCATGTCACTTGATCTGCTGTTGAAGGGAAGAATTCTAGGCAGTAAACCGGATGAGAAAGAGAGAGGGGGAGGGGAACAGAAGATGTGAAGAAGGGGGCAGGTCTGCCAGATTGAAAATAACTTCGCTGTGTGAAAAAGTTCTTAGTGCTCTACATGAGGACGGGGGCATTCGATAACGCATCAAATAGCCTGAACTCCCCAGTTGGGATCCAGAGACACGAGAGACTCGTTCTGTCGTCTTCCCTTTCAACCTTCCTCCTCACGGTTTCAACGTCGTCAAGCTTCATATTACTCCTTTTATTGAGATCCTCTTCGAGGAACTTTTAAGATTTCAAAAGTAGATGTACGTGCCATTGAGTTCAGAATTCTCCGTCTATAAAAAGTGTATTTTAACACGTACTAAAATTCCAATATTTGAGCTGCTGTTTTTTTAGTTTTGAGAGAAAAATTTAGCACGCAGTTTGGAAAAGAGGAAACGTTTAGGAATCTGTGGATGCTAATGTTGTATATTGTACCGTAGGAAAGTGAACTATTCGTAGCCGTCGTATCCGTCCAAGGTGATTAGTCGCCTGCGGGCAGTACAAGTTGTGAAAATATTTTACGTGACTGGCAGAATTTGAAGTCTAACCAAATAATCTTAATAATGTTCTTTTAAGTGAATATTTTATTTTCGTATAACGAAGTTACGATTATTTAATACATATGAATGTTAGATCCCACTAGCCAGAGTATGACATATTTAGTTATTTTTCAAATACTCGTGCACGAACATCTTCGAGTATATTGGCTTATATAAAACTTCGTTCGCCCCTCACTGAGGTTTTAATTATGATTAATGCTAACGCATTTCTTAGGCGATGACAATATTGAATGCGTCTATTTTATAGTTTCCAAGCCCAAACTTCTACATATTGGTCACATATCCATAGTAAGAGATTTTTCCCCAGCGAATTTCCACGATATGAGAAAGTGAATATTCATTCTAAGTCCTAAGCTTTTGAATGAAAAGAAAAGACCGAGTAGTCCCTCAAGCTATTTTTTTAAATTACGTTTTATCGTTTTTTAGAGAAGAAATAATACTTGTTTAACAAACTGCTTAAAATGATACTAGAAATTATCGTGATGTCCATTTAAGCTTGCAAGAAAAATGACATTGTTCACACAATTCTTTAAAATATTCCAATAAAATAATAAAAGTAAATAATGTGAACTTCTGAATAAATGTAAGTTCATGCTACTCATTCACCTTATTGATATTACTATGTTTAATTTCAGGATATGTAGTTACATTCATCTAGAGTGCTACTGTGATGTCAGATAACTCTCTTCATGTGATTTGAAGTAACGTAATAAAACTGATATTATAGCTCGCATTTGTTTGTTTCTCGTTCGCAATGTGTTGCTCTCATTAAACATGATACAACTAGCAATAAAATAGATTGTATGCACATTGCTGTGTGTGTGCTTCGCAAAGCAAATAATTAGCATGGTCGTAACAGCATCATTTACTCATTACACAAAGAAGGTACTGCTGTTTGATGCTGTTCAAAATGATACCAAACGTCTCAATTATCTAAAATGTAAAATAGATATATCATTGTTTGTTGTGATTGCAGAGTTTTATTTACCGTTGTAATCATTGCCTTTAATATGTGCGTTTACCAACAAAAACGTGGATTACATGGTAATGTGTTATTGTTTGTGAACAAATTCTGCGCGAGATTGCGCGAGATTCGAACTGAAGATGACTGCAATCAGATGATGGTTTATTACGAGCAACAAATTTCATGTATATGTAATCAGACATCAGGTCCGTTTGCTTCAAAGTCTTCAAAGACACTTTATGACACCCACTACCCAGGAAATCTCAGTTGGTTCACCGACATTTGTCACGTGTTCGCACAACAGTCATTTTCGCGTTTAAATTAGCGTGTCTTTGTTTGCGCGTTAAAACATAATATCCATCACATTGCCTTGCATTGGGGTGAAAATGTCCGCATTTGACAGCTGTTTGCCACTAAGCACTACGTTTCTTATCCTACTCTTTCGTTAAAATTTAAATAAACTATAAATTACAGATCTTTAAGTAGCACGATAAGTTATTTTCTTATAAATATAGAAGCCCAACATTAAAATATCATAGTACAAATTTGTAATAAAATACGATTACTCGTCACAGAAGTGAAGTTAATTTTTCACGCGTTAAAAAGACGCTGTAGCAACGTATGCGTTATCACTAGAAATCATCTTTCTCATTTCCCATGACATAAACAAAATAAAAACAACTCGATAGTTCGTTAATTTCACGCTGCATTGTGGCTATTCGATGAACAGTCGAGTCGAGGGGAGCTGACGCGATCGGCCCAGTCGGCGGGCACCGCGCCGATCTGCACCGCGCTGATCTGCGGGCCAGGGTTATGGATCGCTGCTGGTGGAGCCAGCCCGCCGGGAGCGGAGGCGCGCTCGTGGGCGTCCGCTCTACTCCACTGAATGACGCGCGGCCCTCGGGCCCCTGCAGCGGGCGAACGCAGCCAGTCTGGCCCCAATTTTTCCATTTGAGCAACGCTGGCCGTGTGATAATTACACCGAACGCACAACAAGCAGGCAGCTGTACTGGCTGAGTATATCTCACAGTTCTGATCGACAGTTTTCGTGGTTTCTCCGATCAACATCAGGCGAATGTCGGAGCAGAACCCTAACAAACGAGTTACAGACTGCAAGCTATCTATTCTTCCCCTTTCTTGGACAATGGCCCACTCTTACTTACACACAGTATTACACGCACTCCACTTCTTCCCATATCGGGAGCCCAGCTCTCGGCTGGAGCGCTTCCCCATCGGGAAGATACCTTTGATGGGGAAACCCTTCGCAAGTCGACGTGTAGGTTGTCACCAGATCTCCCTATGCAGCGTGTGAGGAACACCGCCACCTCCGTGATAAAACACGCACTACACCAATCACCAATGGGACTAATGACCACAGTAGTACCCGTAAACATGAAGGAGCGAAAGCCCTGGCCGCTACGTACCGTCG